CCCCAAAACCCCAAAACCCCAAAACCCCAAAACCCCGTAATTTAATATTTTATTTTTAGTCAAAATTCAGATGAAAATGAACACGAAACCCTTTTCTTGAAGAATAATGCTCAAGAAGAGAGAGAACTCATCAGTTACAGTCAAGAGCTCAGGCAATAACATTGTAGCTAGAAGTTTTAGAACCAGACAAAGAACTAGCAGGTAGAGTATAAACATGATCTTTAGAGCTCATGGGCTTAATCTTAAATTCCTCAAAAATCATAAGGCACTGAGTAAACATCCTCGGAGCAATATGAGTGGTAATTTACTAAATGATGGTGTAGAAATTATGACTGCTTCAAAATAAGAGCGCTCATTTCAAAATCTTCAAATTTGACTATTCTAGTGCAAGGTAGTCTCTGATAGGTTTTAACTCTATAGAAATAGGAAACCATCTGTAAATCTTAAATAAAGATGGAGGTTCTAAACATAAAGGAAGAAACTATGGTCATAAGACTATCCAGGAAGATTATGATAGAGAAGATATCTTTCTACCCTATAACGAGACATTCCAACTCAGAGATTACCTCGAGTATGAAAGCGAGGAGGAGCCTCAGCCCCAAACCACAAGACTAGAGTAATCCTAGCATTAATCATAGACTTGAGGAAATGAACCTAGCCTTGCCTTCTCATTGGTAGCAAAATATATACATCTATCATGGAAAAGCCATATTTCTTAAAATAGACTAAGAAAGATCAGGCTTCAAAATATTTCAAGATTAAAAAGGAAAGAAAAAGTTGAAGAAAAGTTCAAAGAAATTATGTCTAAGACCATCGAGTAAGTTCTCTAACTAACCTTTTTAGCCCTAAGGAAGAGTTTAATAAGTAAACCCACAATTCATGTAGTAGGAGTCATCAGAATGGAATAGAGGAAGAGCCTAAAACTCCTCTTCAATGTAATTTCACTAACTAATGTAAAAGTGAACACCAAAAGATCGAAAGTTAATTCTCCTGGGAAATCTCCAAGAAGAAGTAAGGCTTAGTTTAGGAATTTTCTAGATAAATAAAAGCCCGAGCGGGTCGAAATTAAGAACTATAAACAGTAAGTCTGCCTTTATTTAGCTGAGTTAACCTGGTCTCTATAACTTTCACCAGTGCTGTGTTTTATTCCTCTGTAGGACCGTGGGTTTTTAAGAAATCACTGAATGCCTTCACTTCCAGAAGAAGTTCGAGAGATCCTATGTAGGACTTATTACTGATCTTCTTAGGCATTCAAAGAGTTCTCAAAGAAAGAAGAAGACTCCAGTGAGTTTACTTAATTCAAGCCATTTGACTTATTCTAGAAACATATGTGAAGTCCAGAAAAGGATCCTTCAAATAATCATCATGGTAAGTCTATAGGATTAGGAAGCTAGGAGTGATAGTGCTTATGAAAATCCATATAACTCGAGGCCTTGTTACTTCAGATTTCAGAACCCAAATTTCTTATAGGATTAGGAACATATTCACGCAAACTAAGAAAAGCATCAATGGCAAGATTACTAAATATAAGTTGCCAGAACCCTATATTAGGTATATTCTTTGGATATTTTTAGATAAACCTAGTCAAGTCCAAGCCTTATGTAACAAACTCAAGAGATTCGTGAAGAAAAATAAGAAGTCAAGATCTATTAATTTTAGTACCTAAAAAGTTATGATTTTTAATATCTTCAACCACCAAAAATACCCCGGGGTTTTGGGGTTTTGGGGTTTTGGGG